CGCGGCCGCCCGGCAACACCCCCTCCCGGTCTGGGGCGGCGCAGGGTGCGGAGGCCTGGGGGCTGCTCGAAGACGGTAGCGCTCGGGCAGCTCGGCTCTTAAACAGAGCCGAAGAGTCGGGGAGGAGCAGAGCCGCCGCGGCCGGAGGCTCTACTCCTCCCCTGACTCTTCGGCTCTGTTTAAGAGCCGAGCGCTACGGGCTTTGGGCAGCCCCCATACCTCCGGACCCTGCGCCGCCGGAGCCCAGGAGGGGAAGTGCCCGGCTGGGGGCGCAGGGTCCGGAAGCATGGGGGCTGCCCGAAGCCCAAGCGCTACCGGCTTCACAGTTTGCCGGGCAGCCTCCAGACCCTGTGCCCCCGGCTAGGCGCTTCCCCTCCCAGGCTCCAGCTGCGCTGGGGAAGTGCCGGCTGGGGGCGCAGGGTCTGGGGGCTGCCCGGCAAACCGTGAAGCTGGTAGCGCTTGGGCAGCCCTTTTCGCGTGGCTGGGAGTGGGAGGGAGGAGGGGGCGGGGTTGGGGTGGGGAAGGGGCGGGGTTGGGACGGGGCTGGGGTGGGGTGGGAAATGGGTGGGGCCAGGGCCCCGTGGAGGGTCCTCTTTTTAAATTTGTTAAATATGGTAACCCTACATCTGAGTGCTGGAGACAGGAACACTTCTTAAGCGGTTTTCAGTTAAGTCTGCAGCTTTTAGGGGACATAGTTCAGACCTGGGTCTGTGTTTGTAGCAGGCTAGAGTGTCTGGCTCAAACCAAGCAGGGCACTGAAGTCCCAAGCTGGCAGGGAAAACAGGCTCAGAGGAAGTCCCAGCACATCAGGTGGCAGTTCCCAAGGGGGTCTCTGTGATCCAACCCGTCACATCATTTTCCTGTTCGTGTTCAATAACACCACTGGTGGGCACTAGAGCGTCGGCCCCGAACCCGAGCTCGTGAGCTACAAGGGAGCTCGGGAAACTCGCCGTGGTTTGTAAACAGGGCAGGACAGGACAGCAGGGGCTAGCAAGTGAGATACTCACCCCAGTGAGCCCCCCAGACAAGGAACAGGAACATTGGGGAACAAAGGCCGGGGCACATCACACGCCGCAGAGACTCAGATTTGCCCTGCAAGAGAAGCGCAGACACTGATTGGCCCCAACGCCCTACGGAATTGATTTCATAGTTACGCCCCCCGTCCTCCAACAACATCTCCCAGCTCCCAAGCAGGGCCCAACTCAAACCAGCATCTTCATCCCAGCCCCAGGTCAGCAACGAGCAAAAGCCGGTCCCATTTCACACCTCCTAATGCATGTACTGGCTCAGCCAGCCCCATTCCGAGCGTATCAACCCCTCCTGAGCCCACCGTCCCACCCCCACGCCCCATTCCCCTCCCTCCGCCTCTCCCTGCGCCACAACCGCTCCCCAGCCATGATCAGCGGTCAAGACAGTCCGTGCCCTGGATCAGACATCACCGCTCAGCCACGGGGCAGATCCTGTCCCAGCCATGGAGACAGGCAGACGCTGTCTGAGACAAGCAACCCGAGTCACTGCCGTACTCACCAGAGCAGCCCAGCAGGACCCAGCAGACACAGAGCCCAGAGAGAGTCGCAGTCAGGAAATGGGGAACCGGCACAGGCAGCGTGGCCTCCTGAAACCTGCTCTGAATATCAGCCGCTCCTTGTTGGTATTTAAATTGCCGAGCTAGGGGAATTTCCGGCAGCCCATTGCTATGGGGGGGGGGAGGGGGGAAAGCACAGGGGTTTACAAATAATATGAAATGAAATGTCCCCAAACATTGGATCCTGCCTGCACGTGACTATGGAGTTTCGATCAGCACAGCTCTGCCACTAAGGTCTGGCCTCATGACAAATTTCCGGAAACTTCTGCTGCATCATGGGACATGGGACACCTACGGTGAGTGGGAACTGACTGGTTTTAGCCCACCATGACCAATTTCCTGTAACCAAGGCGGAAGGCAAAACAAAGAAGGAGTCACCTGCAGTTTGCTTTAGTCCTCGACCCACACGCACAGGCAGCCTCTGAGGGACCTGCTGCTTCTCACCGTGGAGCTGTCAGATCCGTCAATGGCTGGGGGTTAAACGGCCTGTGACCACAGCGTATCCTGTGGTAACTGAACCCTTCCGCCAGGTGGAGTCGGCAGCAACAAGGGCCGGGTTCCGTATCCAGGGGTCCCTTTTAACAACGCAGCGCAGAGCCGGCTCGAGCCCCCACCCAGTAACCTGGGTCCGCAGCCTTCGAACAAAAGTCTTGGAACATTTTTAGTAGTCTCTGGTTTTATAACTTGGGTTTTTTTTAAATAAATAAATGATGGCTCCCAAGAAGGAAGGCTGTCACCTGTTACAGCTGCACCACAGCTTCAGTGTAGGGCAAAGCATGCGCACGAACCCCGGCTTCTCACTGCCTGCCCCCACTAACAGCTGCAAAGCAGGTGTACAGAACCTGACATTCATTGTACTACATGGCATGCGAAATGTGCTGCAAGGGCTGCTAATTTCTTTTAGAACCTGGAGGAGGGAAGGGGAGGGCCCTGGGGTGGGAGTCTGGTCCCAGGAGTGAGTTTGTGGGGGAGACCAGTGAGCAGGGCCCGAGGAGGGAGAGGGGGTGAAAGTGGGGAGGGGCAACAGGAGGCTTGGGTGGGGTGAGCTGAAGCAGGGCTGGGAAGATCCATGGGGGGTGGAGGCTGGTGAGGGGAGAGCGGAGACTAGGGTAAAAGGGTGGGAGGCCTGTGGGTAGAGAAACATGGAAGGGGAGACTATGGGGTGGATTGTGGGAAGCTGGGCTGGGGCAAAAGGCCGGGAGAGCCTGGGAACGGGGGTTGGAATCGAGGGGGAGGACAGTGGGTGGGAAGAGGCTGAAGGGGGTAGGGAGAAGCTGGTGGGGATTTGGGGGATTTTGTCAGGGATATTTTTAGTAAACGTCAGGGACAGGTCATGGGCTTCTGTGAATTTTTCTTTATTGCGCGTGACCTGTCCGTGACTTTTACTAAAAATATCCCTGACAAAATCCCCCAAATCCCCACCAGTTTATTAAATGAAGATATTGATATAATAGAAATCACAGACACTTGTTGGAATGATGATAATCAATAGGACACGGTAATACTAGGGTAGAAGATGTATAGAAATGACAGAGCAGGTCGTGTGGCACTATATGGGAAAGATGGTGACAGTGACTGTGAAAAGCTCAGGGAGATTAGAGAGGCTATAAAAATAAAAAACTTAATAATAATGGGGGATTCCAACTATCCCCACAGTGACTGGGTACATGTCACTTGAGGACGGGATGCAGAGCTGAAATTTCTTGACACCTTAAATGAAGCTTCTTGGAGCAGCTAGTTCTGGATCCCACAGGGTGGAGGCAATTCTTGATTTAGTCCTAAGTGGAGCACAGGATCTGGTCCAAGAGGTGAATAGAGCTGAACCGCTTGGTAAGAGCGACCATAAAATAATTACATTTGACTTCCCTGTGGCGGGGAAAACACCACAGCAGCCCACCATGGTAGCATTTAATGTCAGAAAGGGGAACTACACAAAAATGAGGAAGTTACTTAACAGAAAGGTACAGTGCCAAAAGTGAAATCGCTGCAAGATGCATAGAAACTTTTAAAAAACACCATAATAGAGGATTAAATTAAATGTATACCTCAAATTAAAAAACACAGTAAGAAGATCCAAAAAGTTCCACCGTGGCTAGACAACAAAGTAAAAGAGGCAGTTAGAGGCAAAAAGGCATCCTTTAAAAATTAGAAGTTAAATCCTATTGAGGAAAATAGAAAGGAGCATAAACTCTGGCAAGTCAAGTGTAAAAGTATAATTAGGCAGTCCAAAAAAGAGAGTGTGAAGAGCAGCTAGCCAAAGAATCAAAAACTAATGGCAATTTTTTTCTAAAGTACATCAGAAGCAAGAAGCCTGCCAACCAACCAGTGGGGCCCCTGGACGATCGAGATGCTAAAGGAGCACTCAAGGACAATAAGGCCAGTGAGAAGAAACTAAATGAATTCTTTGCATTGGTCTTCAAGGCTGAGGATGTGAGGGAGATTTCCAAACTTGAGCAATTTTTTTTAGGTGATAAATCTGAGGAACTGTCCTGGATTGAGGTGTCATTAGAGGAGGTTTTAGAACAAATTGATAAATTAAACAGTAATAAGTCACCAGGACCAGATGCTATTCCCCCAAGCGTTCTGAAGGAACTCAAATGTGAAATTGCAGAACTACAAACTAGTACGTAACCTATCATTTAAATCAGCTTCTGTACCAAATGACTGGAGAATAGCTAATGTGACGCCTATTTTTAAAAAAGATTTTGGAAGTGATCCTGGCAATTACAGGCCAGTGAGCCTAACTCAAGTACCAGGCAAATTAGTTGAAACTATAGTAAAGAACAGAATTATTAGACACATAGATGAAAACGATTTGATGAGGAAGATTCAACATGTCTTTTCTAAAGGGAAATCATGCCTCACCAATCTATTGCAATTCTTGGAGGGGGTCAACAGACATGTGGACAAGGGGGATGCAGTGGATATACTGTACTTGGACTTTCAGAAAGCCTTTGACAAGATCCATCAACAAAGGCTCTTAGGCAAAGTCAGCTGTCATGGGATAAGAGACAAGATCCTCTCATGGATCAGTAACTGGTTAAAAGACTGGAAACAAAAGGTAGGAATAAATGGTCAGTTTTCAGAATGGAGAGAGGTAAATAGCGGGGTCCCTCAGGGATCTGTACTGGGACTTGTGCTGTTCAATATATTCAGAAATGATCTAGAAAAAGGGGTAAACAGTGAGGTGGCAACATTTGCAGATGATATAAAATTACTCAAGATAGTTAAGTCCTAAGCAGACTGCAAAAAGTTACATAGGGATCTCACAAAACTGGGTTCCTGGGTAAGAAAGTGGCAGATGAAATTCATTTGTTGATAAATGCAAAAGTAATGCATATTGGAAAACATAATCCCAACTATACATATAAAATGATGGCGTCTAAATTAGCTGTTACCACTCAAGAAAGAGATCTTGGAGTCATTGTGGAGAGTTCTCTGAAAACATCCACTCAATCTGCAGCGCCAGTCAAAAAAGTGAACAGAATGTTAGGAACCATTAGGAAAGGGATAGATAATACGACAGAAAATAGCTTAATGCCACTTTATAAATCCATGATAGGCCCACATCTTGAATACTGTGTGTAGATCTAGCCACCCCATCTATAAAAAGTTATATTAGCATTGGAAAAGTTACAGAAAAGGGCAACAAAAATTATTAGGAGTATGGAACAGTTTCCATCTGAGGAGAGATTAAAAAGACTGGGACTGCTCAGCTTGGAAAAGAGAAGACTAAGGGGGGATGTGATAGAGGTCTGTAAAATCTTGACTGGTCTGGAGAAAGTAAAAAAGAAAGTGTTATTTACTCCTTCACATAGCACAAGAACCAGGAGTTACCCAATGAAATTAATAGGCAGCAGGTTTAAAACAAACAAAAGGAAATACTTCACACAACACACAGTCAGCCTGTGGAACTCTTTGCCAGGAGATGTTGTGAAAGCCAAAAGTATAACAGGGTTCAAAAAAGAACTGGATCAGTTCCTGGAGGATAGGTCCATCAATGGCTATTAGCCAGCATGAGCAGGGATGCAACCCCATGCTCTGAAGCGTCCCAGCCTCTGTTTGCCAGAAGCTGAGAATGGGCGACAGGGGATGGATCACTTGATGATTACCTGTTCTGTTCATTCCCTGTGGGGCACCTGGCTGCGGTCAATTGGCCGTAGCTCCATTGGAGTCAATGGGGCCAGATCCCAGCTGGGGTCAATGGTTTAGGCCGTGCAGCTTTGCAGCAGCCCAGAATCTAGCTTGTGTGGGGTTGTGGGGTTGTGTCAGCGCACACAAAGGAAGAGACGTTGCTTCACAGTGAAAACACGTCCGTTCATTGTGGTGTCCCTGTCCTCAGTCTCCATTAGCTGCCACTCCACTGGGGGCACCTGCATGGATTGAAACAGCCCTGGAAGGTGGGGAAGGGGAAAGACAGAGAAACAACCCTGTTCCAGAGAAACCCCAGCAAACCCAGGTATTACAGCAATGAGAAGGGGGGAGGCTGTCCAGGGATAACAGGGGGGCAAAGTGCCTCTTTGGGTCAAGGTAGGCGGCTCAATCCCATTTAGTGGAGAGGGTTGAATTTCTAACCCTTTGACCCCTCTAGGGACAGCACCAATCAGATTGTTAAATTAACCCTTGCAAAACCCCATGTGGGAGACAGCATTGTCCCTCACCTGTTATGGCTGGGGAAACTGAGTTACAACACAGAGAATAGACCTGCCCCCAGGGCCACACAGCAAATCAAAAGTTCTGAGTCCAAACTTGTTTTCGTTCCTGGCCACTTAACTCCAATGACCAATTAACAGGTTGGAGGGAGGAAGCCTTGGTTAAAAGGTTAACTTCCCAATTCCCCCCACCTTAGAGCCCCGTCAACATCCCAGAGAGCTGCCAGTGGGGCTCCGGCAAAACCAGATTGAACATTTCTGGGGTCCCAAAAGGGAGGAAAACACCCTTTTCCAGGCCCTTCTACATCAGGGAGTAGCAAAAAGAAAGGAAATCGTTTGCAGGTCATCTTGGACTGTGTATGAAGAAGCAGGACTCTGGCTTTATTAAATCTGTAAGCAGAGTCTGAGTGAGCTCCCCCCTGACATCTAGGGGTGAGCTGTGGAAAAAGACTTCAGAAGCTGATCTCGTTTGCACGGACACACTCACCCCGGCTAGGTGCTCAGTATGATGGGACTGCTTGATGGGACAAGTGCCCAAATGATCACTTGTGGCTGCTGTTGGATCCCCTGACTCCTTGTTATTGGGGCAGGAGTAATAAAGGGTTGTTATCCTTGTTGTGTGAACTGACACCCCAATGGCGGGACATACCCTCAACTGAATGGAACTTGCTAGGCAGGGCACATAGGTTCCGAAGCCCAATGAGTGGGGAGATGTAGTTGTAGTGAGTGTTATTGAAGGGGGTTTGATGTGACTCATGCTTGTCTGTACTCATGATATAAATAAAAGAACCTATGTCAGGATTGGTTTTTTTGTTCCTGGTTTGTGTTATGAGCCCCAGTTGTGGTGTTTTCCCAAATTAATGCTGAGTTAGTTCCTTCCTTTTATTAAAAGTTTTTGCTATATTCAGGCTTTGTGCTTGTGAGATAATTGTCACTGGGTGGGGGCTCAAACCGGTTTTGTGTTGTATTGTTAAAAAGCTACTGAACCTGGCCCTTGTTGCTGCTGGCTCCACCTGGCAGAAAGGTTACAAATACATTTCTCTTTGTTTCTTTTAAGGAACACCCAATAGATTTAGTATAAAAATACACATTTTTGAAAGTCTTCTTTCTTTTGAAGAAAATCAGTCTGTCTGCCCAGCAGAAATAAATCAGTGACACCAACAGCTGCACATTATGTGCAATAACTTCCTGACCGTCCCCAAATCCCGTGAGGTCCTCCCATCAACCCCAGCTGATTCTGCGCCTCTGAAATCCATGAGGCAGGCCCTGGAAATCATGAGATGGGCTTTGAAATCATGAGATTTTAAAACATAAATTAATAGTCAAATCTGCCCTCTGGGCCACTAGGGGAGGCTGCTGGCGCCCCATGCATGAGGGTTGGGGGTGCTCCAGCCAACTGGAAGTGAACACACACAGAGAATTTCTGGGGCCAGCTCCGGGGTGGTGGAGGAGTCATGTCCTTCTGTTAAGCCTGGGATGGGGAAGCTGCCATCCTAGTGCTCTCCATCTTACCCTTAGTACTTTATACTCCCCAATTCAACCCCCACGCACAATCCCCTACACCCCTGTGGTCTCCTTCCTGCCCCCGGAGGCAGAAGAAGCAGCAATTGGCTTAACCTGCAGCCGGGGAGAGTGAGGGTAGATATCCGGAAACACTTGCTAGCTCCCAGGGGAGTTCAGTCTGGACTCTGTGTCCAAGGGTACGTCTACACTACGGAATTAGGTCAATTTTATAGAAGTTGATTTTTATAAATCGATTTTATACAGTCGATTGCATATGTCCACACTAAGCGCATTAAGTCGGCGGAGTGCGTCCTCACTACCGTGGCTAGCATCAACTTACGAAGCGGTGCACTGTGGGTAGCTATCCCACAGTTCCCGCAGTCTCCGCCGCCCATTGGAATTCTGGGTTAAGCTCCCAATGCCTGATGAGGCAAAAACACTGTCGTGGGTGGTTTTGGGTACATGTCGTCAGTCGCCCCTCCCTCGGTGAAAGCAACGTCAGACAATTGTTCCGCACCTTTTTTCCGTGCAGAGGCCATACCACAGCAAGCAAGGAGCCCACTCAGGCCAGCTCACTATCACCGCTGCTGTTGTGTCCTGGGTGCTTCTGTCAGCAGACGGTGCAGTAGGACTGCTAACCGTCGTCAGCCACCGCTTCTGCTGAAACTCTGCTCTCCTGCTCCCCAGCGACGAGTTCGCGGGATCCGTTCTGGTCCTTCTGGGTGCTGCTGTCAGCAGACGGTGCAGTAGGGCTGCTAACTGTCGTCAGCCATCACTTCCACTGCAACTCTGTTCTCCTGCAGACACCATACCACGGGAGGCATGGAGCCCGCTCAGCTCACTGGCACCGCTGCTGTTGTGAGCATTGTAAACCCCTCGCGCGTTATCCTGGAGTATATGCAGAACCGGGCTAAGAGGAGGATTTTGATGAGGACATGGACACACACGTTCCTGAAAGCACGGGCTGTGGCAATTGGGACATCATGGTGGCAGTGGGGCTGGTTGATACAGTGGAACGTCGATTCTGGGCCCGGCCAACAAGCACAGACTGGTGGGACCGCATAGCGTTGCGGGTCTGGGATGATTCCCAGTGGCTGCAAAACTTTCGCATGCCGAAGGTCACTTTCCTGGAACTCTGTGAGTTGCTCTCCCCCACCCTGAAGCGCAGGAATATCAAGCTAAGAGCTGCCCTGACAGTTGTGAACCAAGTGGCGATAGCCCTGTGGGAACTTGCAACACCTGACTGCTACCGGTCAGTCGGGAATCAATTTGGAGTGGGCAAGTCTACTGTGATCCACGTACCCAATGCAATCATTGACGTTCTGTTATCAAGGGTCGTGACTCTGGGAAATGTGCAGGACATACGGGATGGCTTTGCTGCAATGGGGTTCCCTAACTGTGGTGGGGTGATAGACAGAACGCATATCCCTATATTGGGACCGAACCACCTTGCCAACCAGTACATGAACCGCAAGGGGTACTTCTCAGTGCTGCAAGCACTGGTGGATCACAAGGGACGTTTCACTGACATCAACAGCAGGAAATCCGGACAGTGGTGGGATAGTGGTAGGCTCCCCGCCCCAGAATGGCATGCACTGTTCATAGAAGTGGCATGTATGGGGCTCTGATCCGGAGCGACCGTTTGCCTCCTTTGTCTTTTGGTCGGCTTGCCTGAACTCCTTAACTTTCACGTGCCACTGCTGTGTGTCCCCATCGTAGCCTCTGTCCAACATGTCCTGGGAGATTTGGGCAAATATATTTGCATTTCTTCTTTTTGGCCTGCACAGATGCTTCTCCCCATACAGCGATCAGATCCAAGTGTCTCCCTTTCGGTCCATGCTGGAGCTCGTTTGCAATTCTGGGACTGCATGGTCACCTGTGCTGCTGAGTTCGCCACGCTGACGAAACAGGAAATGAAATTCAAAAGTTCCCAGGGCTTTTCTTGAGTACCTGGCTAGTGCATCGGAGTTCAAAGTGCTGTCCAGAGTGGTCACAGTGGAGCTCTCTGGGATAGCTCCCGGAGGCCAATACCATCGATTTGTGTCCGCACAATTCCAAATTTGACCCAGCAAGGTTGATTTTAGCGCTACTCCCCTCACCAGGGAGGAGTACAGAAGTCGATTTTAAGAGCCCTTTAGGTCGACGGAACGGGCTTGGTTGTGGACGCAGTCATTTTTAAATCCACCTAACGCGGCTAAATTCGACCCAACCCCGTAGTGTAGACCAGGCCTAATGGAGGTTGTGGGATCCCCGCCACTGGAGGTTTCTAAGCCCAGGCTGGACAAACCCCTGTCAGGGCTGCTCTAGGGTTACTTGGTCTCGCCTCAGTGTGGGGGACTGGACTGGCTGCCCTCCCAGCCCCACATTTCTGGGGCTCTATAAATACCTTTGAGGCTCTGGCCCTAGCACTACAGGGGCCTCACTAATCGCTCTGATGTGGGGCAGTGATTAGAGGGGGACAAAGAGCTACCCTGCGTGAGCGGGGTTAGGTTCCCCCCGGTAGGGGCTGTAGTGTATGAGCCCCGTTGTATTGACATGGGTCAGTCCCCGCCTCGCAGGGGGCTCTCCCGTCGCAGGGGTCAGGGACAAGAGCAAGTCCTGGTGCAGTGGCTCTGTGCTGCCCATAGAACTGCGCTGTCCTTGCTATGAAGTGCGGCCATCGATTCTAGAGACCCCTGGCTCCCAGCTACAGAGCCTTGGCGTGAAGGCGTGAAGGCGAGGGAGCTGCCAGGAGATCAGCCCCGAGGCCAGTGGTGGGTGTACCCAGGGCTGGGCAGATGCTAGGGCCTGGCTAGCTCTGGGGTGAAGGATCCTCTACATCCTTCGTCCCGGTGAAGCGACTCTCTGAGCAGCGTCTGCAAGTCCCACGGCCGGGAGGGTGAAGGATCCTCGCAGCCACTATCACAGACAGGGTCACGGCGCCCAGACAGGCCACCAGCAGCCAGACGTGGCTCCATCTCTGCCCTGCAAGAGAGAGCCCAGAGCTTCCTGTGAACAGGGCCTGAGAGCCGGAGCGAGCTCCCCAGGCTCAGCGTGTCGCCCTCCCGCCCGGGCTGTTGTGGAGAAGCCCAAACTCGGGGCTGCTGAGCGGCAATACCCCACTCTGCCACTGGAGGGAGACAATGGGTTAAATAATTCTGCTCAGCCACTAATCCCCTGCCCACGTCCCGCTGTGGGGCAGAGCCCTGCACCGGCTGGACAATTCCCATCCTCCTTCCCCCACTCACCTGGTCCTCCTGCCACTGTGATGTGCTGTATGTGGGTCTCCCGCCCGGGCGCTGTCACCAGGAGCACGGTGAGGTTGGTGCTCCGCCCCACAGGCACGGCCAGCTCGCTGCACAGGGTGTAAAGGCCCCAGGCGTCCACGGACTCTGTGGTAGTGCTGAGCTCTGTCAGGTTGGTTCCCGTCCCGTCCCTCCACTCCACGCTCGCCCGGGGGTACCCGCCCCCCGAGCTGAAGGTCAAGAGGGTGTGGCCCAGCCGAAACGAGAGGTCAAGGGTCAGATGAGGCTCACTGTAGGGTGCTGAAAGGAAAAACACTTCCCCTGTCTCTGGAGTTTTTCACCTCCAGTTGCTTGACAGGCTCCAAACACAGGAATTGCTCCCCCAGTGCAGAGATGCAGCTGCCTCTGGGGTGGAACAGCCAGGTAACAGCTGCCCAGCAACACAGCACAAGAGGTTAAGTTTTGCAGTTTGAGGTTAAAACATGAAGTTTGGGGTTTGAGCCAGCTTTGAGGAGGGACATTGCCTGCTGTTTGTCTGAGTTCAGATCCACTTGGGATGGCCAGTGTCCACCCCACACACGAACACTCTCCCCACCTTGGTCTTACCAGCCAGAGCCAGTTACCATTTATAGGAATCCTGGTTTCCTTCTGCAGAAGATGTTTTGACACCAGATGGGGATCTGGCCCCAATTGGCCATAGCGCCATTGGAATCAATGGGGCTATGCTGGAGAATCTTGTCCTGGGGGTTTCAGTTTTGTTTCCAAAATTAACTTCATTTTCTTCCCACTGATATTTAAGAACATAAGAACGGCCAGACTGGGTCAGACCAAAGGTCCATCTAGCCCAGTATCCTGTCTTCCGACAGTGGCCAGTGCCGGGTGACCCAGTGGGAATGAACAGAACAGGGAATCATCAAGTGATCCATCCCCTGTTGCCATCCCCAGCTTTTGGCAAACAGAGGCTAAGGACACCATTCCTGCCTATCCTGGCTAATAGCCATTGATGGACCGATCCTCCAGGAACTTATCTAGTTCTTTTCTGAACCCTGTTATAGTCTTGGCCTTCACAACATCCTCTGGCAAGGAGTTCCACAGGTTGACCGTGCGTTGTGTGAAGAAATACTTCCTTTTGTTTGTTTTAAACCTGCTGCCTATTAATTTCCTTGGGCGACCCCTAGTTCTTGTGTTATGGGAAGGAGTAAACTACACTTCCTTATTTATTTTCTCCATACCAGTCATGAGTTTATAGACCTCTATCATATCCCCCCTTGGTTGTCTCTTTTCCAAGTTGAACGGTCCCAGTCTTATTAATCTCTCTTCATATGGCAGCAGTTCCATACCTCTAATAATTTTTGTTGCCCTTTTCTGAACCTTTTCCAATCCAATATATCTTTTTTGAGATGGGGCGACCACATCCGCACTGAGTATTCAAGATGTGGGTGTACCATGGATTTATACAGAAGCAACATGATATTTTCTGTCTTATTATCTATCCCTTTCTTAATGATTCCCAACATTCTGTTCACTTTTTTGACTGGCGCTGCACATTGAGTGGATGTTTTCAGAGAACTCTCCACAATGACTCCAAGATCTCTTTCTTGAGTGGTAACAGCTAATTTAGACCCCATCACTTTGTATGTATAGTTGGGATTATGTTTTCCAATGTGCATTACTTTGCATTTATCAACAAATGAATTTCATCTGCCACTTTCTTGCCCAGTCACCCAGTTTTGTGAGACCCCTTTCTAACTTTTCGCAGTCTGCTTAGGACTTAACTATCTTGAAGAATTTTGTATCATCTGCAAATGTTGCCACCTCACTGTTTACCCCTTTTTCTAGATCATTTCTGAAGATATTGAACAGCATAAGTCCCAGTACAGATCCCTGGGGGACCCCGCTATTTACCTCTCTCCATTCTGAAAACTGACCATTTATTCCTACCTTTGTTTCCTGTCTTTGAACAAAAACAAAACAAACAAACAAACAAACAAAAAAGAATGAGGAGTCTGGTGGCACCTTAAAGACTAACAGATTTATTTGGGCATAAGCTTTCCTGGGTAAAAAACACATGGAGTCGGAAGTGGTTTTTTAACCACAAAAGCTTATATGCCCAAATAAATCTGTTAGTCTTTAAGGTACCACCAGACTCCTCATTGTTTTTGTGGATACAGCCTAACATGGCTACCCCCGGATACTTGTCTTTTAACCAGTTACCATCCATCAGAGAACCTTCCCTCTTAGCCCATGACAGCTTACTTTGCTTAAGAGACAGAACCCAATTTATGCCTCTAGTTCTACCCCCCCACCCCAGTCTGAACTGTAGAGTCTGGAGTGCCGGTGGCCAGCCTGGAAGGACACAAGTCCGAATCTGTGGATAACTACCAATCTCTGCCATCCTTCAGCCCTCTATGGCACATTGCTTTGAGCCCCAGACCCCTACATGGAATTGGTAAAGCAGTAAAGGCTGATTCTAGGCAATACTTCTCCCACCACAGTACAAGCCTAACCCATGGAACTCCTTCCCACAGATATCACTGAGGCCAGGAGCACAGAAAGATTGAAGAAACGATTGGACATTGCTATGGCGCAGAGAATCCAGGTCGAAGGCTGCAAACCCTTCTGCTTTGGGGAATCAGCTGTAGGTCGGAGATCTTTGAATCTTTGCTCCTGACAGGAGACCTCTTGAGGTCCCTTCCAGCCCCACATTTCAATGCTAAGATGCCGTGTCCATGTTCGTCTATCACTGTGCACTAGAGTTACCCTTGCCTCTGCCTCTCAGCAGCTGGCCACGCTTGGAAATGGGCTAACGGGCTACGTGGCCCCATGGGTCTGAGTCAACCTTATCTTCTCCGGGCAGCTGGTGGAGCCTGTAAACCTACGTCACAGCATCTGGCGTCAGCGCCGATTATACCCACAGTGCCAGGCACTGACCTCTCCCGTGCCGCTGCCCGCTGGCGTGAGGTGGGAGATTATCTCCGAATAAACGAGCTTCTAGCCCAGCCTCCCTCAGCTGATCAGATATCGAAAGGCAATGGAGTGTTAGGAGAAACCTCAGGTTGAATGAGCCGTACCCATCACTGTAACCTGCCTCGTCTCCGAAGTTGTGCCCAGCTCCGAGGTGACGTGGCAGCGATAGACGCCCTCATCCTGCGTGCGGACACCCATCAGCATCAGGGACGCGTTCCCCCGAGCCAGCCCCTCTGGATCCAGCCAGGTCCGGTTCCTATAAGCCTCGTCCTGTCTCGCCAGCTGCTCCCTCCCGTAATAGTGACTATGAACCACCAGGGCCTCTGCCCCCACCTGCTCCTTCTGCCAGGTGAGGGTCAGGTGCTGGAGGTTCATGCCGGGCTGGGACGGGAAGAGGCAGCTCAGGGTGACGTCCCTCCCGAACTGAGCAGTGACAGGTGACTCTGCTGTGATGAGCCCTGAAAGGGAAACAGAGTCAGGGGCAGAGATCCCATCTACTGCCCAGTCTCCCCCTGCCCTGGGGCCTCTGTAACCCTAGGGGTTAGTACCAAATGGGATGGGAGCTTGGGGGCAGGAAGAGATGAAAGAGGACATGGACTGACATGCTTCAGGGACCAGGACATGGAGCCTTTCACACGTCAGCCATTAGGTCAGTCAGTGTGAGATGAGTTGGTGGTCTCAGCCCAGTTCCTAGCAGGACCGGTCATCCACACCAATAAAACCACCCTCCCAACTGGCCCTTTGCTTAGCAGCAGAAAGTCCCAAGGCTCGTCAAACTCCAGAGCTTGATCTTCTGCCATCCCCTATATGGCAGTGGGGCAAATTGGGGGAGGGAGACAAAAGGATCTCCGTGATGCTCTCTCCCCAGCATCGACATGACTGACACCGAAACAGAAAGGCTGGGGAGACGTTTGAACACTGAAGCCATGAGCTTGGCGTAGAAATCAGGCGATTGTAACTAATAATACACGGGCTGTTCTGCTCATTGGCCTTCTCTTCCGAGCCCTCGGGCTGCACCCAGGTCGGGTTTGCACTAGGGTGGGTCAAAAGTTTGGTCTGAATTGTTGTTTTCAAACAAAAAATGGCTTTTGAGGTTGAAATGAACACATGTCCCCCCCCGGCCCCAATGGCTGAACGGTTTTGGGCAGCCAAAATCCCCCAAATTTGAGTCACAAGCAAAAATATTCTCAGTTTTCTAATTTTCAGGGTTTTCCATGAAAACGCCCCAAAATTCTGAGGAAAAACGTCAGCAAAACCCCAAACTTTTCCACTGACGTTTTTCTTGGCAACAAAAATCCACATCCCGGCCCGCTCGGGCTTCACAGCTTTTCTCCACAAACGTGAGGGCAGAAATCTTAGTTTTGAACCAAATAATCCTCTGTAATCCCCAATCAGCAAGAGCTGGGCTTTCCGTGAAACGCTCAATATCACCATCAAGTCGTGACTCTCTGGGACGGAACGGGCAGAGTGTGTGGGGAAAGGAGGTCTCTTAATCTAAATGGTTTTAGAGAGCTGAACAAATATCAACTTGTTTTCCTGTTCGTGTTCAAAAACACCATTCCCCGCACTGGTGGGCACTAGAGCGTCGGCCCCAACGCCGAGCTCGAGAGCTACAAGAGTTCGGGAGACTCCGTGGTTTGTAAACAGGGCAGGACAGGACAGCAGGGGCTAGCAAGTGAGATACTCACCCCAATGAGCGCCCCAGACAAGGAACAGGAAAATTGGGGAACAAAGGCCGGGGCACATCACACGCCGCAGAGACTCAGATTTGCCCTGCAAGAGAAGCGCAGACACTGATTGGCAAAGCAACCCCCCACCGCCCTACGGAATTGATTTCACAGTTACACCCCCCGTCCTCCAACAACATCTCCCAGCTCCCAAGCAGGGCCCAACTCAAACCAGCGACTTCATCCCAGCCCCAGGTCAGCAACGAGCAAAAGCCGGTCCCATTTCACACCTCCTAATGCATGTACTGGCTCAGCCAGCCCCACTCCGAGCGTATCAACCCCCTCCTGAGCCCACCGTCCCACCCCCACGCCCCATTCCCCTCCCTCCGCCTCTCCCTGCGCCACAACCGCTCCCCAGCCATGATCAGAGGTCAAGACAATCTGTGCCCTGGATCAGACATCACCGCTCAGCCACGGGGCAGATCCTGTCCCAGCCATGGAGACCGGCAGATGCTGTCTGAGACAAGCAACCCGAGTCACTGCCGTACTCACCGGAGCCGCCCAGCAGGACCCGGCAGACACAGAGCCCAGAGAGAGTCGCAGTCAGGAAATGGGGGACCGGCACAGGCAGCGTGGCCTCCTGAAACCTGCTCTGAATATCAGTCGCTCCTTGTTGGGTATTTAAATTGCTGAGCTAGGGAATTCCCAGCAGCCCATTATTATGCGGGGAAGCACAGGGATTTACAAATACAGTGAAAGAAAATGTCCCCAAACTGATTGGTCATGGGGGGCTAAAACCAATTTCCTGTAACCAAGGTGGAAGACAAAATGAAGATGGAATCCCCCATAGTTTGCTTTGGTCTTCGACCCCCCCTCCTCCACAGGCAGCCTCGGAGGGACCTGCTGCTGCTCACCATGGAGCTGTCAGACCCGTCAATGGCTGGGGGGTTAAACGGCCTGTGACCACAGCGTATCCTGTGGTAACTGAACCCTTCCGCCAGGTGGGGTCGGCAGAACAAGGGCCGGGTTCCGTATCCAGGGGTCCCTTTTAACAACACAGCGCAGAGCCGGCTCGAGCTCCCACCCAGTAACCTGGGAAATTACACACCAGCCCCAGGAGCCGCTAAGCGTCCCGACACCCCGAGTCAGTGCGCAGCAAAGAAACTTTTAATACAGAGGTGAAAAGAACCTGGCACTGATTTGGGAAAACTCCACAGTCATGACAAACATCTGACCATGAGAAAAATCCCCGCCCCCGAGTACACGGGGCAGCGTCATTTGCGTCAGTTTCTCACCATGCAGCGTGAAAGTCCGACAGACAAATGTCCCTTTAACACCCCGCTCCCATTTCCCCACCACCACACCCCACTCTTAGGGTTACCATCCCTCCGGGTTTCCCCGGACATGTCCGGCTTTTTCAGTGTTAAATGGCCGTCCAGGGGGAGATTTCTAATCAAGAAGAAATGTCCGGGATTTCCCCCTTCCCCTCCTGTGGAGTGCGGCACGGCTGATTGGACGCCTGGCCTGATTGAAAGCCGCTCGCAGCCACTAGGGCCTCTAGCAGCCAGAGTCCCTCCCCCGCGCCCGCTCCCTCCTCCCCTACAGAGCAGCGTCCCAGTGTTTGATTCCACATGGAGCCCGCAGTTCTCCCTCTGCCGGGTGAGTGGGGGGGAGCAGGGCAGGCGGCGGGGGTGTGTGTGTGTGTGTGTAGAGGCTGCGAGGGCGAGGTGGGAAGCGAGGCGGGCA